CAATGTATAGGTAAGCTCGTAATCTCAATACGTAAAGGAATTGCCGTGGTTGAGAAGGCCTACGATACTTGGAAAATGTTAAACAGATATCCATCTCCTATGTTCTATCATTTAGGCTCTAGCTTTTTTTCCAAATCTAAAGATGACCAATAATTTGCAATACAAAATTATCATTACATACAAGGTAACTTAGCCTACTTAACTAACATATCTGAAAAGCTAACATATTCAGCCTCAAATGACCTTGCAAAACTTCAACAGGTTTCTTTAGCATGGATAGAATTAAATCTTTACTTCAGTGCATTTCAGAGCTAAAGGTTACATCGAAATGCTTGGCTGAAGATGCATAGATAAATTACATAGGACTTGGAGCAAGAAATTGCTTTGTAACACAGACATTGCTTGGGTATATTGCAATATGCGTGCACATTTTTCAACCTTTTGACTGCTTTCGCCTGCACCGATCCTTTCAATGAGCAGACCAACAAGCAGCACACGTGAGTGAGGATCCACATAAAGGTCAGAAGAGGATCATCATTTTCTTTTTTATTATGTTGCCATTTGTCTGAACAACATTAGTTAGAGACTGGCTGTAGTGTAACATTCTTTTCTTACAATAAAAAGACAATCTTTAGCGTACAACTTAACAATGCGTTGCTGACAGTAAAAAACAAACTAGTGGACAATTGCTGAGTATGTATCTCTACGTTCTAATCTTAATACACCTAGGTTCAGAAAATCTAAGAATACCATGAAAAGATTTCGGTTCATATTTGATAGCATACCCAACCTCTGTTCTGAACTCTATGTTCAAATATAGTTAAATATAAAGATACATAGAGGTAGATAATTAACATAATATCTATTCAAACAACAGAGGCCCCAGGTAAGAGACAGAGACTTAGCAGAGCTAATCTTGCAGGCCGGTTTCATAAAATATAGAACTGCTAGTTGTCCTTTCTAGTTAACTCAAAAGATGGTCAAGCATTTCTACATTTTAGAGCATATCAACGTGGAAGACTTGCTCTGCTAAGTATATGACTTTTACCTGGGGTCTCAATTTGTCAAATAGATATGCAGCAATATATTAGGCCAGGCGTATATCCAGAAAATCTAATTTGGAATCCCTTATAGGCATCACTTACCTATTCCTATAATATATTTTCATTAAAAGGACCACTATAGGCACCCAGACCACTTCAGCTCAATGAAGTGGTCTGGGTGCCAGGTCCATCTAGGATTAACCCTGCCTGCTGTAAACATAGCAGTTTCAGAGAAACTGCTAAGTTTACTTTAGGGTTAATCCAGCCTCTAATGGCTGTCTCATTGACAGCCACTAGAGGCGCTTCGCACTGTGATTTTCACAGTGAGAAGACGCCAGCATCCATAAGAAAGCATTGAGAATGATTTCCTATGGACTGACTGAATGCGCACGCGCGGCTCTTGCCGTGCATGCGCATTCAGCCGATGACGACCGAAGGAGGGGGAGAGTCCCCAGCACCGACTGAGCCCAGCGCTGGAGAAAGGTAAGATTTTAACCCCTTCCTCCCCCTTCAGCCGAGCAGGAGTGGGACCCTGAGGGTGGGGGCACCCTCAGGGCACTATAGTGCCAGGAAAACGAGTTTGTTTTCCTGGCACTATAGTGATCCTTCAAGTTAAGATTCTACGATTATATGTTGTGTATTTTAGGGGTTTATAGCATTTATATGCTATATGTATTATAGTCTCACAGTTAAGTGATTTTAACATATTATAGTGTTTTGTACAGTTAGATAACAGGAAAATAAAGAATTGCTACTTTTTCAAATAAATGTTTGGAGGAGTTCAGGTTCATAGAAACATAGAATGGTGACGGCAGATAAGAATCATTCGGCCAATCTAGTCTGCCCAATATTTCAAAAGACTTTTAATTAGTCCCTGGCCTTATCTTAAGTCTAGGGTAGCCTTATGCCTATCTCACACACGCTTAAACTCCTTTACTGTGTTAACCTCTACCACTTCAGCTGGAAGGTTATTCCATGCATCCACTACCCTCTCAGTAAAGTAATACTTAATGATATTATTTTTAAACCTTTGCCCCCTCTAATTTAATACTATGTCCTCTTGTTGTGGTAGTTTTTCTTATTTTAAATATTGTCTCCTCGTTTACTGTGTTGATTCCCTTTCTGTATTTAAATGTTTCTATCATATCCCCCCTGTCTCACCATATATCCAAGCTACACATGTTAAGTTTCTTTTACCTCTCCTTGTAAGTTTTATCCTGCAATCCATGAACCAGTTTAGTAGCCCTTCTCTGAACTCTCTCTAAAGTATCAATTTCCTTCTGAAGATACAGTCTCCAGTACTGCATACAATACTCCAAGTGAGGTCTCACCAGTGTTCTGTACAATGGCATGAGCACTTCCCTCTTTCTACTGCTATTACCTCTCCCTATACAACCAAGCATTCTGCTAGCATTTCCATCTGCTCTATTACATTGTCTTTCTACCTTTAAGTCATCTGAAATAATTATGCCTAAATCCCTTTCCTCAAATGTTGAGGTTAGTAGGGTATCAAATATCCTATACTCTGCCCTTGGGTTTTTACGTCCAAGGTGCATTATCTCACACTTATCCATATTAAATGTCAGTTGCCACAGCTCTGACCATTTTTCTAAATCATTTGCCATTTGGAACATCAACTCTGTTACAAATTTTAGTATCATCAGCAGTATCATTAGCTCACAGACTTGTACACTTTAGGATTAATTCCAGCAAATATTATTTTGACCTTCTGAATATGCCTGGTTGTTTTTACTGTGGAAACAAAAAAACGTGAATTTATACAAATATTTATAGGTTCAAAGTCACCTGGTGATTGAAGTGCTTATTGATGTCACGCCCTAAATGAGCACTATTCATTGCTTATGTTATGGAGCAAACTAAAACTCAATTAAAGCACAAGGGATAAAAATAATTAGTTTTACATCACCTTTCTTTTGTAACTTTATTAAAAAAAAAAAAAAGTAGACATTCATTAGCACATTAAGAAAAATATTTCACATCAAGAGATTAATACACATAACTTTACTAAATAGATCAGTATGTACCTCAAAATAGTCGACACACCATACAGATAAGTATATACCCCAAATAGTCTACATACCATACTAACTGCTAAATAATGGAACACTAAGGTATATTTTTTAGAACAGGTTTTCATGAAATCCTCCATTATCTAGCTTCAAACATATCTGCACAAAACATTTTCCTCAGAAAATATACGTGAACTTACAGTTGTATGTTTGGTAACAGCCATGAAGTAAAAAGGCTCCCCTCCATCTTCTTAACATATTCTATTGAATGTCTAACAAATTCCAGCTATAGAACACCTAATAGTACTTCCAAACTATTTGAGACTCATGTATTCAGAAATATAGTAATCCATGTTTGACCACTTACCATGCCAATATGAACTAAGAGTGTAGCCTCCATCTTCCTGCAATATTCTTTTATGTTCTTCCCTTTTCTTTATTTTAATCCTCTTTTACTTCCACAGTATTACGTTAGCGATATGGAACCCAAAATGCAGTACTTGATAGGGAGCATAAATAGCAAACAAAGTCCAAGGCAAACTAAATCCGACAGGGGCAACGCAGAGGCAAAGTAAGGCAATCCAACAAGTAAAAATCCAGAAAGCAGATGTTCATAAATGATGGGCAGGCCAGAGGTCAGGTAAATCCAGGAGAGCAGGTAGAATACAGCAAGGAAACAAGCATGTAGTACAGAACAACGAAGACTCAGCTGTTCTGAGTTTAAATAGGGTGCCAAATGTAAGGCACACCTATTCTGGCATGCCTCCATAACACCCTATTGGTGTATAGGGCTGTCAGTCACAGGGGTTGCCATGGAGACTGGTTTTACAATAATGTGTTCAAGCCACGCTTACAGGGTTGTCCTGCGGCATGGAACAAATGAGCACCTCTTCCAAGTGACCATCATTGCCTGGGAGACGTGACATGACCTGAGTTCTGAGGTCACGGCCCGTTCCTAGTATTCTGGAGCAGCGAGGGAATAGAGGTAAGTCACGACATACAGTGTAAATGACATATTATAAAAATTGTAATTTGTTACATATTGGCTAGTTATACCTTTGATGTGTTACTGGCTAACTATTATAACGAAAGGCAAGAGTTCTTGAACTCATAAATAAACAAATGATAACTTGCATGAAAGTCTGAAATAGCTCAAGAGGCTTTCTTGAATAAATCTAAGTAAAATCCCTTATTTTTATTAATCATCACAAAGTGTCCCTATACCAAATTATAATGAAGAGTCTTCTTTAATATGTGTATTAAATGGAGAACCCTTCAGCTGCTTAGTATTAAAACGACAGTGATAAACACTCCTGTCTCAATGACACTCAACACTCTCTTATATGTCAACAAGTGTTTGTTATTTGAATAACTGTCCAAATGAATTAGACAAACCGAAGTACTAAAAGTGTGTGATTTGTATTTTTCAAATAACAAATGTAGCTTGATTTTATTAAGACACGGAGGCTCCTATTATGCTGCACTCTTTCTTTATTTCCCTCAGCAGCAAAGAATTTTTTTTTTTTAAACATAACCAGTATATAACAGAGTCTGAGAGTAGTATCTCCTTAGTAACAGGAACAGCCAATCAGGTTCCTCTCTTCAGCATAATAGGCTCGGTCAACCAATCCTATTCCTCTTTCTTTGCTGCTCCCTCAGTTAACATCAGATCCCCACGGTTCCTTAACTGTCGGGATCATTCTTTATATTATATTATTAATCTAATTGTAATTATTTATTGTAACCTTTAGTGTAATTACTGATTTTTTATTATCGATATTCAGATGCCAGTTTGACTCATATACCCCTTTAATTGATTCCCCCTGTCATGTACAGTTTTTCCTTATACTTTACTTTTTAATGTTTCCTAATTGCTATTACATTTATAATGCTGTTCCCAGAATGACACCCTGAGCCCAATCTCTATTTATCGGGCGCAGGGAAGTCTGATGGACTTTTGGGTCCTGTCGCGCCATCTTAGCCTGTCAGACCGCCATTCCCTCGTTTCAGACGAATAACCTATTGCCGGTTCACGGCATTCGTGTGTTTTTGGTTGTTTCCCCGGCACGATTACTTGCCTTATTTTCGCCATTCGCGGCGGCCAGTTACACGAACGCTCCTGCCTTTTCGGGACTTTCGCCACTCGCGGCAGCCATTTTATTGTTTTTTTTTCCCGCGCTCGGAGCTTGTTACTGCCCCCGATGGCCGGAACTCGGAGTTGGGGTTTAGTGATAGTGACGGTCGGACGGCTCTCTGTATCTCTGGTCTGATTTTTCAATTGTATTCTAATACTGTGAGTACTGGTCTGTTCCCCCTTTTTCTTTGGGTTAATCAACCCTTCTCTAGGTTGTTTCATTCCTCTAGGTTTAACAATTTAACTTTTCTTTGCTATACCAGTCAGTTTTCATAGCATATCATTATGCCTAATGACAAAGAATCAAAACCCATCTGGGTCTTATGTCCCCACTCAAGGGGATTCAAAAACGCCTTCAGCTGAGCTTGATACCTCTGCTGATATGCAGACTCTATTTGACAAAACTTTGTCACAGGCTATGACTAAAGCCTTTACCTCAGCCATGGGGCTAATGTCAGACTGTCACAGACACTGACACATGCCTTTATTCAGGCTCAGAAATCGGCGCAACAGGCCATTACCCAGGCTTCACCGACCAAGACCCCTGTACAGCCTCAGGCTGGTCGCAAGCCCTTGGCCAAAACAAAACACTCCTCAATAGCTCAGATGGACAGTTATGCACCTGTCACAGATGGTGCGTCTATTCCACCACCGCGCAAAAGAGCCACTGGCCGGGCAAAATCGGCTAGATTATGGAAAAGGGCAAAAGCCCAACTAGATTCTGAGTCGGATCTCAGCGATATTGAGGAGGAAACCTATCTGGATTCAGATAGTCTGGCCGAAGGATACGATCCTGACCGAGACCGCACTGCATCTCAAGCCGAGACATCATGTGGAGCAAAAAAACCCTGGGGACGCGGATACGATCCTGGACCCCCACGAGGAACCCCTATTTGACCCCGATGAGCTGCGCCACCCACGATCGGTGGAATGGTCCCCCTCGGACCATGTGGCGAGATAGAGATAGAGATAGAGCGTCTAGAGTACGCAAGGCTTTGGATAAGGTGACACGCAATAAGCTCCAGGCAGAATGCCCATGGTCCCTGATGATGCTTGCAGAACACCGGCAGTTGACCCTAAAATTATACAATTCCTGAGTAAGACAGGTTGGAAGCCTAACAAAGGCTTGGATTTTTCCCTGCGCAATTGCCAGGATAAAGTATTAGGCATATTGGGTCCGGCAACTAATGATCTTTGAAAACTACCAGGATTTGGACCAGGCCGCCATAAGCAGGTGGATCCAACAAATCATTTGTTTAATTGGCAACGCCAACACTGCGATGGCCACGGAGCGTCACAAGTCTATATTGTTAAAAATTGAACCCAAATTAATTAACATGGCTTTGAATGAGCCGGGCACCCGAGCCAAAGGTCTCCTGTTCGGAAACAACTTCGTTAAGGAGCTCGACTCCTTCGTCCATACGTTTACTGCCCTTGATAAAGCACAATCTAACATGCGCAAAGTATTCCACCCTAAGGTTTTTGGTGGGGCCGGAAGAGCCAGGAGCCACCTGTCCGGCCATGTGAACAGGAGTTCATTTAGACAGAACCGAGGCTCCTATATTGTTCGAACTAGTTTCCAGGAACATCGTAGAAATCCCTATGACCATACCAGGGTATGTGAGCAACCTATTCCTAGTTGCCATGAAAGGTGGCGGTGTCCACCCAGTGATCAATTTAAAACACCTCAACACTTACGTATCATACAACCATTTCAAGATGGAGGGAATACACTGTCTAAGAGATCTCCTCCAACCATCAGATTGGATTGTAAAGTTAGACCTACAAGATGCTTACCTTACGGTGCCGATCGCCCTACAACACCAAGACTTCCTGCAATTCATATGGCAGGGTAAAAAAAAAAAAAAATGGAGATTCTCTTGTCTCCCTTTCGGACTATCCTCAGCCCCATGGTGCTTCACCAAACTTATGAAGCCCGTGGTAGCCTTATTACGCAGTCGAGGAGTACGTCTTATAATCTACTTAGACGACATCCTCATCATGGGCCTATCTTCTCAACTCACCAAGACCCATCTGCACTGGACTCAGACTCTATTACAAAACCTAGGTTTTCTCGTCAATTGGGAGAAATCCATGTTGGTTCCCACACAACACAGAGTTTTTGGGCCTCGTCGTGGACTCTACGTCACAGACCCTACATCTGCCAATAAAAAATTTGAACAGTATAAAGAGGGAGATCAGACGCACGCTGGCAACTCCCCAGCTCACTCTCAAACAGTTGGCAAGAGTGATAGGTCTTCTGGCGGCCTCCATACAGGCCATTTTTCCGGGCCCTCTCCATTATCGGGTGCTACAACGCCTACAAGCTTCCCACTTGAGAGACGGGGTAGCCTACGCGGACTGGATCACCCTAAACGCGGAAGCGAAAGACGAACTAAAATGGTGGCTCTTCCATATGGAAGCCTGGAATGGTCGCGCCATATTTGGCACCACACCAGATCTCATAATAGAGTCCGACGCGAGCTTACTCGGTTGGGGTGCAGCTGTGGAAATGTATCTACAGGTGGCAGATGGTCCGACATGGAATCATCCCTCCACATCAATTGCCTGGAACTTTTCGCTGGATCCTTTGGGATCCGCAGTTTTTCGCCTACTCAGGCCCAATGCTCTATCCTCCTGAAGATGGACAATATATCAGTAGTCCGATATATCAGTCACCTAGGGGGGCACGAAATCGAGGATTCTGGCGAATATGGCACGAGACTTCTGGCAATTCTGCCTGACACAAGGCATCTCAGTCACAGCAGAATACATACCCGGTCTCTGCAACACCACGGCGGATTGGTGCTCACGACACCTCAGGGACCCCAGCGACTGGCGACTGGATCCCAGGGTCTTCAAAGATATAAGGTCACTATGGGGCCCTATGGACAAAGATCTTTTTGCCTCCCGCTTGAATGCCCAACTGCCCAGATTTGTCAGCTGGAGACCGGACCCATCAGCACTGGCAACAGATGCATTCACCCAAGATTGGGCGTCCACAAGAAGTTATGCCTTTCCACTGTTTGCAATGATCCCATGTTGCCTACTGCAGCTGCGATGCCAGACAGGAACCCTGGTGATTGTGATGCCGTTATGGTCCTCCTAACCATGGTTTCCCCCCCTCTTAGAGATGGTGATAGATATACCCCGCATTCTCCCACACTTCGAGTACCTCCTTCAGGACCCGGACGGATTCCCTCATCCCTTGATACAACAAGGCCTTCTACATCTCACAGGGTGGCTGATTTCAGGGGACCTTGGGCAATCCAGGGAGTTTCGGAGACAACTCTCAACCTTCGAGGGCGCATGGGCACCCGGCATGAGACAGGCTTATAAGTCTTCATGGATCAGATGGCGTGATTGGTGCCTGGAATGAGATTTGGATCCCATATCGGCTCCTTTAACCTCAATCCTTCAATCCCTGACCTCACTGTTTGAAGATGGCAAAGCCTACCGTACAGTGAACCTGTACCGATCGGCCATTTCGGCTACACACCAAGGTTTAGACGGAATCCCGATTGGACGCCAGCCGATGATATGTAGACTCTTACGTGGCATAAAATTTGCACGTCCCCCGGTGCCACGATATTCGGTACTGTGGGACGTCTCCATTATCTCACTTTCCTAGAATCATGGCCAGACAATGCATTTCTATCCCTGAAACAGCTGTCTGCTAAACTGGTTATGCTACTTTGCCTCATATCCTGCAAGAGGGTTTCCGATGTCAGAGCTCTGGACCTCAGCGCTCGTTCCTATACCCCCGAAGGGGTCAATTTCGATATTTCCTGAAGAATGTCGTCAAAGAGAGTGTCATACCCAGCGTTCCCGGACAGGCCGCTCCTATGCCCGGTCAAATGCTTACAAACCTATGAATCTCGAACCTCCACACTACGAGACATAACAAAACACAAACTTTTCGTTTCATTCCGAAAACCACACCTTCCAGTATCTACTCCTACCCTAGCTCGCTGGGTTAAATGGATTATGTCCTTTGCAGGCATTGACACATCATTATTCTCACCTCAATCTGTACAGGGAGCGATGGCTTCCAAAGCCTCTTCGATTGGTTGTCGACTTGAAGACATTATGAAAGCGGCCGATTGGTCATCAGAATCCACCTTTCGTGATTTTTATTTTAAACCCATTCAACACTTTGCGGGAACGGTAAGCTCCCAGCTTTAAACCAACATAATAGGAGACTCCGTGTCTTAATAAAATTCACAGATTTTACTATTATCATGACGTAAAGTCATGATTTTATTAACGACACGGAGTCGAGTATTATCCCTCCCGCCCAGCCCAAAGAAGGAGCGAATATGGGTAAGTTGATCTCAGGTAAGTCCTGATTTATGGAGTTTTGCTCTTCATGCCATGTATTTCATTACTTGATCTTATCCACAAGGCACAGATTAAGGATAAATTGGCTCACGGTAAGTCCTGATGTCATGGAGTTTTTCCCTCCGGTTATGTTGCTCAATACTTAATACTTATTCACGATAGCTTGAAATAATTAAACCATATCCACAATGACTGGTGATTCATGCATACACTCAGTTTCATACTAGAATATTACCATATTTCTCCTCTTTTGCAGCCTAATCTACATATCTTTACGGATATTACCTTTTGTGATCAGACCAATTTTCGGTTGGATGGTTATCGTTATTCGTGATTGCAAATAAAGAGAAATAGGATTGGTTGACAGAGCCTATTTTGCTGAAGAGCGGAACCTGATTGGCTGTTCCTGTTACTAAGGAGATACTACTCTCAGACTCTGTTATATACTGGTTATGTTTAAAAAAAAAAAAAAATAATAATATTTGCTCCTGAGGGAAATAAAGAAAGAGTGCAGCATAATAGGAGCCTCCGTGTCGTTAATAAAATCATGACTTTACGTCATGATAATAGTAAAATCTGTGAATTATGTTCCAGAAATTATTTGAAGATGTGCATAGAATTGTTTTTACATATGCATATTTATTTTAAAAATCGGTTAATTTTTATTTTTGCAGTGCATATAGATGGTACAAGTAGGAATGAGGTGCCCCGAAAGCAGTCCTCAGGCATTTTCCTCGCTAAACATGCGGGACATAAGATTAACAGACACATTTTTGTATTATAGTCAGGCTTAAGTAATTGGCTTTAAGAGTAAGTTTAACTGTAATTAGGCTTAATCAATATACAATCTAATCTATCGACAACACAAGTAACGCATGCAT